GGTTCTAGAGCATTTCCAAGAAGAAGAAAAAGCAATGTATTCTGCTGAATTAGCAAAAGAAAAACAGTCGATAGCAGAATGGAAGAACAAGGCAGAAAAACTAGAAGGACAAGTATCATCATTGCAGGAACGTTTGGATGAAGCAAATGCTATGTTGCATTCTGCTTCCAGACTTACAGAAGAGTTAGATCGGAAGGAACAACAGATCCAAGAACTTAAAAGGCAAAACGAGCTCGGAAAAGAAATGTTGGACAAGGCACAAAAGAAATTGTCGACTTTGGCAAACAGCCCAGAAGGAAAAGTGGACAAAGTCCTTATGAGAAACCTTTTTATTGGTCATTTCCATACACCAAAAGGTAAACGCCGAGAAGCCTTACAGTTAATGGGAAGCATCCTGGACATTCCAAAGGAGGAAATGGAGCAGTTGTTGAGTGAATATTCCGGTGGTGTTACTAAGTGGATGACTAGTTGGCTTGGAGGGGCATCGAAAAGTGTCCCCAACATACCTTGGAGACCAAATCAACAACCTGTGCTTAATAGTTCTTTTTCAGAACTCTTTGTCAAATTTCTGGAAATGGAATCTCATCCCTCTGCCCCACCACCCAAACTCTCTGCTCATGCCATGGACTGTCCAGACTCACCAGGAAGGAGAGAGCAAGGTGGAAATGTACCAGGAAGTGTTAAAGATGCAGCCGAATTCAGAGCTGGTAGAAGCACCAACGGGAATCCATTCTTGGTTCCCCGTTCGGCAGCTGTGCCTCTTAGTAACCTAGCTGGAGTTGGTCTTGGTGGACCTGGGCATCCTCTTTTTAAACCCATTGCAGATTTCATGCCCACCTTTACACTATTGCCAGTGTCCCCGGACAGTAGTGCCACAGTAGTACTAGAGCACCTTCTAAAGCAAAGGCATTCTCAACCAGAGATGATTTAGCACTCTAAAGAAGACTTTAGAAACACTTTGTGTTTTTTTTACAGAGTGGCCTTTTGGAAAAGAACTCATGCATTTGTAGACAAAAAGAGAAAGAAAAACAGCTGGTATATATATAGGTATATAGCTACTAGATATTTTTGTTGTTGTTGTTGTGTTTTTTTGTTATAGCACTTTTTTTAAAATTTGTTTTGTTTGCTGTAGCACTTTTTGTTTATAAAATTTTGTTCCAATGTAGCAGCTAATCATCACCAGTCTTCAATTCTGATGTACTTTTGTGAGCAACTGTGCAGAGCAGCATTAGTGAACCATTAGCTCCAACCTCTTTTTTTAATGATTATATTTGATAAATTTAATGGCATTAAGATAAAAATGATACATTTAATTAACAAGGAAGAAGAAAGATCCAACACTTAAGAAAAGGATATATATCTCAGATTTAGAGTATATGAAAACCCAATATAATATTGCAAAAAGTTGTGAATTTTTAGTTGATAAAAGAAAACCTTGTACAACTAGTAAAAGAAAATTAGAACGGGGAAAGCCTGAACATGAAGTTACTTGGATAAATTTTAAGATACTTTAAATCCAAATACTATGACCCTTATCCATGTTACTTATTTCCATTTCTATAGAAAAGTCACTTCACATTATTTCAGTTTTCTAGATGTTAAATATGTCCAGAAGGAAGAGTATTTTCATGAGTCAACCCCGAAGTGGAATCACATGATCCATTGCCAATGGAAAAGTTAGTAAGTAGGTATCATTAAACATCTGGAGTGTTTATTTACATTCTTTTGAGGGCTCCACAATAATGCTTATAAAGACATTTTTTGAAACATTTGATCAAAAACAGTTGGGGAGAGAAAGAAGATAACATCAATTTTTGAAAGATGAAAGGCTTTAAAAAAGGAGTAGTTACAACCTTTTTGTAAATTAAGGTAAAAGATGAATCAAAAGTTTCTAGCTTAAGTAGGTGAAATCAGAGAAGAGAAAAAGCAGATTGCATAGCACATACTTCTCTGACACCTGTAGTTTCTAAAACCATGAAGAACACTTTTATTAAAATTCATTTAAATAAAATTTAATTAATTTTTAATATGAAATCATATTATAATTTAATATAAACCAATCTAATTTAAATTTATTTTATTAATTAATATTGTTTAAATTTATTAATAGTATTGTTTGATTTAAATTTATTTTATTGATATTATTTATTAATTTATATTAATTATAGTATGATTTTATTTAAAAATTTATTAAATTTTATTTCAATTAATACAATTTAATAAAGTCAATTTAAATAAGATTTAATATAGATTAAATTATTTAATATTAATTATATAATTTAATATAAATTTTAATAAAATGAATTTTAATAAAAATGATCTTAGTGGTTTTAGAAATTACAGATGTCAGAGAAGTATTAACTCCTTTTTTCTCCTCTCTGATTTTACCTAACTTAAGCTAGAAACTTTTGATTTATCTTTCATCTTAATTTACCAAAATAAACAAGGGATGACAAAATACCCAGTAGTTATTATCCATCAGCTTTTCCTTTCTTTTTTCTTTATTTCACCTTAACATTCACATTATTTTACCAAAATCAAGATGCCATCAGTTGTTAGGCAGGAACAAAATCACTGAGGCAACAACTGTAAGAGGCATCCCAATCTCAGATTGGCTAAGTATTAAAAACGTAGAAATGTCTGAGAACGGATGAGCTCTGATAGTAGAGTTTCCGACCTATGGAAAGTTTCCAAATGCTATGGAAAATGATGATGCTTCTCTTTTTGTGTTTTTAAGTTGAGAGCCTTGTAAGTACTACGGTTCTTTATCAGAAATTATATGTGCTTTAAATTATAAGTCTTTAGATTTCTTATTTTTCCTGGATTATAGAAAAAGGGACTCACAATTCCTTGAGATCTATTAGCATTTTAGTGACAGGAAATAATTCAATGATGCATAGTTGTTTATTTGCATTCAATGACTATCAACTTTTATCTACTTTGGGAAACCACAGACCTTCTGCCTTCTGCTTTATTTCAAAGCTTCCAGCATGAGTTGCAAGAATTCTAAGAAACTCTGGGAATACTCTATGGTGCAAAATGCACACTTACTTTTTTTTTTTTTTTGAAAGCATCCCTAAGTCATGAGTCCTTAGGTGAATTTCTTGTTCTAAGTAAATTGACTGAATCATTATTAAGTAATAACTTATTATGCCAAAATGAATAATGAAAGCACATGCTTCCAATCAGAGCAAGGAAGAAACAAGAAGGTGTGATGTGTGGTAAAAATGCATGAACATGCAAATATGATCCAGCCTTATTAAGTCCAAATTTCTTTGTTTTTTTAAAATTTATTTTTTTGAGGTTTCATTCTTGCCTGATATGCATGGAATAACTTTGGGGGGGATATAATCAGAAATTCAGCACTAAAATCTGCCTTCCTGCAACATCACGTGGCTTACTCCTAAGAAGAATGGTGCAATATCAAAGTCTATATTTTGCTTCAAGTTGCCAAATTGCTTGGAATCTTCTTCCAATAGGCCTCATATGGTTTGGGAAAAGCAGAATTCAGATTTGTCATGAGAGATTTTTATATGTTCTGCTCACCCCATTGTGTCTAGGTGAGCCTTTGGGTTTCAATGCTGGGAAAAACACTTCTTTTATTTCAGAATTGAAGAGCTCTTGGAAACAGCGACCTTACTGCAAACTTGAGAAAAATATGTTATACAGGTATTCAGAAAATTGCAAAGATTAATATAGATTCAAGATTTTTTTTAAGACAAGGGGCTTAATGGAGAAAACACCAAGATAGCCTTAGAAGATTTCATACTCCCTGCATTCTTATAAAAAGCTTGTATATTGTAAACAAGATAAAACCAAACAGAACAGTTCCTAAGGAAATATTCTGCTTTCAGTTTCCTTGTCTCATAAATTTATTAAAGTTTTATTAAAGACTCTGAATTTGCTAGCCTTTTTTATTAAATATTTGATATATGCTATTAATGTCTATCACTGGATTTTATTTGGTCTCACATTAAAATCTGTATACTCTTTATAAGCACATATGAAATATTATTTGAGATAATTTATCGCAAACCTTTAGGAATTTATGGACATGGAGAGTATCGAATGATATCAAAAGTGGAGTTTTCTTTCATGTCTATCATAGTCCTTTTTTCCTCAGTTGCTGGGGAGGAACATTAGGATGATTTGCTTAGAGTAAGGAATACTAAACTGAACAGAAGGGGCTGGAGCAGCTTTGCTGGTTAGCTTGTCCATTTGAAAAACTTTTATTGAGGACAGGCAAAATATACCTAGTCCCAAATCCATTGAACTGATCAAACTCTGCAGCAGTTAACCAGAGTAGCTTCCTCTTCTGTGCCCCCAAGTTTTGAGCAATGCTCTGTAGGTGATACCTTGAATGATCCTTGGCTTTGAAGAACTGTCATCCAACAAACAATTTATTTCCTTTTTTCTTGTCCTTCTCAGGGATCCTACTAAGTGATTTCAGAGGCGAGGAGAGGAGAGGTAAGGGAAGGTACTGGGCAATCTAATTGACCCAAATTAGGTTATGTGAATGTACCAATGTGTAACAACGAAGGCCACTATTATGTGCAATTATAATGCACCAAAAAAATGATCTTATAAAAAGAAGAAGAATATGATTTCCATAACTTCAAAATAATCTGAAGCCTCAGGAAAAGCATTTCAAAAATAGTTTGAGCTTACCTATAAGACTTTTTATCTGTTCATCAAGGCTTTGTTTTCTGAGTATATGTATTTCTTTAAAAAAAATTGTAAACCCAGCAGGGTGTGGTGACATATGCCTTTAATTGCAGCGGTGTGAGGCCATCCTCATCAATTTAGAGAGACCCTTCGCAAAATAAAATCAATAGAACTGGGGATGTGGCTCAGTGGTTAAGCATCTCTGGGTTTAATTCCCATACCAAAACAAACAACCAAAAAATCATGTAACAATCTTTTTTTTTTTTTTTTAACCTAAGCAATTGAGATTGATCAGGAAGTCATTACTTCAAGTCACCAGTGGC